TGAGTGTTACTTCACTCTGATTTGGAAATTATTCCGGATTCCGCTGGTGTTAATTAAAATAGTGTCCCTCCACTTCTTTAAAAGGGTCACTTGGTTTTTCTTGGGTCTTCTGCAACACTATCAGGTGTCAAGAGAAATGACATCATCTATGTGCCGTATAACCTCTACAAAACACCACTGTCTGCTTGTGAGAGAATGACAATGAAAAAGGAAAATGATGTTTAAGTGTTATGAAAATAGTATTGACCTCTCAAACACCTTAAAATGGTCTCATGGAACTACAATTGCTGGATCAACTTTCATAACTATTACCTTAGAGAAAGTCTAAGCACCACTTAAGCGTGAGAATGTTTGCAGGAGCATTGTACATAATAGCAAAACCTAGAAATAACCCCAAATCCATCAACTGGTATATTCATTCCATGAACTACTACACAGCTATAAAAAGGAATAAATGACAGTATGGCTCTATTAGCCAAGATGAATGACTCTTGAGCAACAGAAGCAAGACATGGAAAAATATATTCAGCTTTTATTTAAAGTTCAAAAAGAGGTAAACTTAATAAAGTACTGGTGAAGAATATATTATAGGTGGTAAAGCTAATGAAAAGCAAGAGAATGAGTAAGACCAAATGCAGGACAAACAGTTGCCGGGAGGGTGCACAGGAAGGGATAAAGGACAAATGCAGGATGATCAGGGATGGGATACATAGGAAGTTTTATTTCTTTGGCTGAGTGGTGAGTACATGGGTGTTTATTTTATTCATGCTTTATACATTTTGCTTATATGAGACATTTCAAAATTTAAAAAAATAATAAACCAAGACAAAACAAAAATTTAGACTAGAAAAATTTATTGGATGAGAGAAAATTATTTAACTTAACAACAATGGAAGAAACCACAAAGGAATGGGTAATTTTGAATACATTCAAAAAAAGAAAAAAGTAAAATTGACATAAACAAGAAAACTCCAAACCAATTATAAGGCCACAGCAATAAAAATTAAATTATAAATGGATGTAGACATATGAAAAGAAGTTTAATCTCACTAGTAATCAAATGCAAACTAAAACAGAACCATAAGTTAAGAAATGATGACACTAAATATGAGTAAGGCTATGGTGAAACCAACTTTTTTACGGGCTGTTGGGAATGAATCTTGGTGCAACTTACAATGAATAAAGTTTAGCACACATAAAATGAAGTATTTTAAGGAAATAATCTGAACTACTGAACAAAAAAAATTGTATTAAGAAGAAATGTCCAAAAAGGGACTATTAAGTTAAAGAATAAGACTATTATCTTTAATTTATAGAACTGAATATTGATAGTAATATAAAATGTTGCTAACTTTATATATCTGGTGAAAGAAAATCATGTCAGTAAGAAATGCAACACAAAATTACACACAGAACGGGTTTTTAGCTATGTTTTTCTACGTATAGAAAAACAGCCAGGAAAGAATGCATCTACCGTTAGAGTTATCTCTGTATAATGAGCTTATGGGGGATTCCTCAGTTGTTTGGGGTATCAAAATTCGTTTTAATGAATTCTTATACTTGTAAAGTCAGAAAACAAACCTAAAATAACAAAGCTCACAAAACAGTCAATAGCTCTCCAAACTCACCAAGCACAAAGGCATCACTTAGGTGCCCAAGGCTCTCTATACTATTGTTCTTAGCTGACCCACCCTAGGCTCCTCAAAATGGATTCCCTCTGGCTTCCTGAACATGCCCTCATACCTTCTCACTTCAGCAACTTATCCCACACTATCTGCCTGGATCGCATTCTCCACCTGGTGAAATGCCACCATCTTCCAAAGTCCATGAGAAACACTTTTTTTCTGTGAAATTTTTCCTAATTTTGCTAGCTTAGCCACCCCAACCAGATGCGATTTTTCCTTGTTTGACTTCTACAGAAATGACTATAGCACTCTTTCTACAAGTCGTCTTAACTCTATCAGTTCTGTTTTAATGCTCCTACTAAATTCTAGGAGTTCGAGAAGGGGCTCTATCCTTCTTGAGCTCTTTCTCTAAAACTGATACACTGTTTCGCAGCATTAAACACATATCTGAGTATTTGAGGAACTGAATAAATTATTGTCACAATGGATTAGTCTTTTGCTTTGGCCACAAGAAGGAAGAGAGAACAGGAAATGTTACTCATTTGAAACTCAGCATGGAATTTCTCCCAGAAACAATGAGAAAAAATGGGTTATTAATGAATAAAAAATAATGGACTTCTATTTCATTCTTTTGTCAGCTGCAAATCTATCCATAATTGGTCACTTTATTTCTATGGAAACAAAAATGCAATTTGAGTTCCCAAAAATCTACCTCCAAAGAGTTTCTGGAGTACAGCCAGTGCTTAAAATGATATACTTGCAGATAATATTTTCCTTTAGAAAAAACATGGTGTTGCTTAAATCTGCCTTAAGCCTCTTCTGAAATGACAATAGGAAGGGTGAAATAAAACAGAAAAAAGTGGATGTTCTAAACTCCTGAAACTTTAAGGGGAGAAAGTCTTCAAAGGTTATTTTCTTTTCCATGAAAACCTTTAAATTAATTAAATTAATATTTACAAAGTCTGTGCAGATAACCCACCCATGAGTTCACACATACCTAAGTGTGTATATTTAAGGACAAACCCTCCCTATATTTAATAGCACACAGGGCTTTACTTAGAAATAACACTGTCTTCATCAGACATATTGTGAGGGCTGCTCTTTGCCAGATTTTGGTGGGGGAGGGAAGCCGGTTAGGACAGCTCTTAACACTGACTTGGACTATCTATGTATATATTTAAGCATTGCTCTATATGCATTCATTCAATATGTATTGAGAACTGTGCTAGGTATACAAAGGTTAGTATGACCTTGCCCTCAATGCCAACAGGTTGCCCCAGACCTATATACATTCTACAGGAGGGACTGCACAATAAGCAAGTAAACAAATGAATGAGATAATTACAGGTTATGGTAAGACCTGCAAAGGACACAAAATAAACAAGACAGGGAGGCTATTTAATAATCACCACAGGCCTCTCAGATACATTTAAACCAAGATGGAAAAGAAAAAAAAAGACCTAGCCATGCACACTACCTAGCAAGAGCCTTCCAGGCATAGAGAAGTGGAAAGGTTTCCAGATAGAAACAGACTCAGTTTGTTTGAAGAACATAAAAGAGGCAGTGTGGCTGGTCATGTTTTTCAAACTGTGGGGTATGTTTGTAAGTTGTGATAACAATTTTGTGGGTCACTGCCTCAAGAGAGTTATAGGTTTTCAGAATAAATATTCTTTAACAAATTTTTGCTTCAGTTTTGTGTGTGCACACGTACTGGATTGCAATATATAATACATTTCCTACTGTGGGCCTTGGAGAAATCTGTACTAAGCAAGGAGAGTAGGAACAGAGGACGATGAAGGGGTGGGTAAGAACTAGGGCATGCCTGGCCTTGCATTGAGGCCACCATTAAGAATTGGAATTTTTATTCTAAACAAAGTAGGAAGGTACTGAAGGGTTTCAAGCTGGGGAGTGACATGAATAATTCGACAGGATGGTGTTACCAAAAGATTACTAGAATGAAATTCAAAGATCTGAGCACCTGCCCTGGCCTAGCCACTAACACTAGAGATTTTGAGCAAATCACTTAATCTCTCTAACTTTATTTTCCTCATTTTACAAATAAGAAGGTTGGAGCAAGATGACCTTTGAGATCTTGTCTATTGCTACATTCCTATGAGTACATTGGGGGCAAGTGAACGACTACTGGGTAGACACTAGGTCAGGTTTTAAGTTATTTCTTAAAATATTATAAACCACGTAGCCATAAAAGTCTCATTTCTATAGAAAGAAATTTTAGAATTATTTCTTTACTGGAACCAGGTATGTGATTGGAAATGAGATCTCTGGACTCAAGGTGAATCAGGTGCTTTTGCAACTCTCTGGTGCAAAGTTTAGGATGGGACGGGATTAAAATATTTACTGAACAGGTGTTTTTTTTTGGAACAGATTTCCTTTTTCGTTCTAGGTCATCAACTGACATAATATAGTGCAGTCTAAAGTTGCAGGGAACATCTTTTAGCACTAAAGTCAAGATGTGGAAGCTTAGCTTCTTTCACAGTAACCAAAATGAATATAGAGGCAAAATATTCATTGACAGACTACTATATGCTAACCCCACGCTATACAGTTTGATATATGTTTTTTACTTAATACTCCTAACCCAATTATTTCCATTTTACCGCAATGGAAACAGAAAAGACAATTAGCTATTCAGTGTGCTCATAAAAGACAAGTAAACTATCAAGTGGCAGGATTAGCATTAGAATATATCATGTTTATAACAAATTATCCTGCATGCTTTTAAAATTACAAGGATTAAATCATCGATTTTAACTGGACAACTCAAGTATCTGTGACATATGGGCACAGAATGTTTAAGCAATAAATCAATTCTGGACTCTCGGGTACTTTGGTAGGTACAGTGTGAGATAAAAATATGAGAACTTGTTCTAGCACTGGAAAGCCTACGCAGTTGGTAGCATGCTGAGTTAGTTGTATGACGTGGAATTAAGCAAAATATCCAAGGAATCTGGATCCCCACTTAAGTACACGTAAATAGGATTATGGCAGTTTCCAGGTTCATTTTCGCAATTGCTGCTGGTGAAATGTCAGCAGAGGAACCAGGGACTGGACAGTGTCACCAGTGCCGTGAACGTGGAAAGTGTCCTGCAAGTTCCATAAACTTGTGATGCTAGATACACTGATTTCCAACTTGCATTAACCCTTTAGCAAGCAATGGACGCATCAGCTGCCCAATTGGAGCAGTGTGCATGCCATGTTACGGAGAGGAAAACCTTGGAAACTTGCAGGGCACCGTCCCCGTGAGGGTCGAAATGGTCCCTAACACTTCCCACTGGGACACCCGCAAACACCCCAGCAGCAAAGCTGGGGATGCTCACTGCACACCTGCCTCAACACCGAGAACGCGGTACCCACCTGTCACATACTCGGCTTCGAACCTTCGTCGGGTCTCAGAGATGAGCTTGGCTTTACTCTGGGCGTGACACTGGAAGGGAGACAAGAGCAAGAGAAGCTTAGCAAGCACACCAGCCTGCTTCCCCTCAGTTCAGCCCACCTGCACCTGGGAGCGTCC